AGATAGATAGATAGATAGATAGATAGATAGATAGATAGATAGATAGAACGAGACAGAAAGAAGGTTGGACAGATTATCTGGAGTAGTCCAACCTGTGGTCTCCAGGCCTTGGACAGATAGTTGTGCTGCCCAGCAAAATGTAATAAAAATATAAAAAATAAAGGAAGCTTGTTATTTATATATGTTAACTATTATGTATTATGTATTTTATATGTGGCCCAAGACAATTCACTCAATGCAGCCTAGGCAAGCCAAAATGTTGGGACACTTATGTTAACTTCTAGGTCTATGTTTGCCATAATAAAATTCATACTAAACCATCCAATAGTCCATATCCGTTCACATAAAATATTTCCTTTCATGGCTTGCTTCATAGAATAGCTAATACCATTCACAGTTTTTGTTTCTTTCAATCTCTTTAACATTACAGATGTTAATATGTATGGAACATTTCAGCAATTTAAAAAGTGATATAAACTGGAAATAAGTTTGTAGATTTGTATCCTATGATATCATCAGGTTTAGTTATATTTATATATTATGTGGTATTTTTCACCCAATGCTTTCCATAGATGTTGGATTTCAATAACCAGAATTCCCAGACAAGATCAGTGTTGAGAACCATTTCTACTGCAAATACTATCTTAGCAGGGAAGGAAACGAACAATTTCACAGCACAAAATGCACATTTTAAATGCTGAGAAAATATTTTTCCCCAAATGTGTTATTCCTTAAAATAAAAAAACAGAACTGTATTCCCAACAAAATTGATTGAAGAAAGTGTTGATTGAAGCCTAAATATCAGCAAAAAAAATTTTTTTTTATAAAGAATGATTTAGATAAAACTGCATTAACTAATTAACCTTCTGTCTAAGGCAGCTAGGGTTTGTATTCAAAGGGCACCAAACTGAGGAAAGCTGATCTTTTTTAATGAATGCAATTATCTCAATACACACACACACACACACACACACACACACACTATGTTCGATGTTAAAAGATGAACAAAATTACCCGCTTGAATTCAAGGAACTTGATTGCAAAGAATAACCACAGATAAATGTTCTTGCTACTAAGAATGTTCTCTTGGGGGAAATCCCCCCCCCCACCTCAGTGATGCAATGAATCTGCGTGATTCATTAAGAACATTTCCCTCTGTCTCATCCCCAAACCAAGTAAAACTTTATGGATATTCCATTCAGTTACAGAGAAGCAGAAATGAAAATGATGCATAAGACAGGATATGGTGAATTCAACAGTTACCATAGAACTTCCTCTTCTGAATGATTTTGATTACATATTTTACTTACATGAAAGTACTTTCTGATAAAGGAAAGGCTCAATCTCTCCCCACCCCAAAATTATATAGGGTCAAGCTGAGCAATGACAGATCTGATTTGGACAATAAATTAAATTAAGGACAAAATTTGGACCGAAAAGGCCAAGCTGCTGATGGTATTTTTTATGAAAGTCTGCAAAGAGATAAACTCCCGCTGAATGCAGAATATGAGGGTTCTCTGAGCTTATAGATTGGTTTCCAAACATTCTTTACCAGGCTAGGTATCATCTTTAGTGGAGTTTAGGGAATGTCAATGTCAGTGTTCTTCTGTTTATACGGGCTTGAGGTGTGGATGTGTCAAGTGAGAATCTTATGATGGGTCAGCTGTGAATCATCTGTGAATCTTATGTAAGGAGATTACATCAGGTTAACTAATCTCCTTATCGCAAGACCCATCAAAATATCATAAAAGGCTTGCTTAGGCTACACAAATACAATAAAAAATTAAAATTACTGATCTGGATAATGTAATACAAATACTGTGTGAATACTGTACATCAGGGGTGTCAAATTCAAGGCCCAGAGGCCAGATCTGACCCGTGGGGTACTTATCATCTGGCCCACAGGGCTGTCCTGGAAACAGTGAAGGACCGACCTGCGAGTGAAAATGGAGCTCGGGAGGGCTGCACGCGGCCCTCCTGAGCTCTGTTTTCACTAGCAGAAGGTTGCAGGAGGCAGTCGTAGCCAGAAACGGAGTTCAGGAGTCTGTTTTCGCTGGCAGTGCGCTCGGGTGACTACAGATGCTCCCGACGCAAGTGATATCAGGACGGCCACATACCCCCAGCCCCGAGGTCAAACACAACCCTGATGTGTCCTTTAATGAAATCAAGTTTGACACCCCTGCTTCACATACTCTTAGATATAAACACCTCCAAACACACAAATATACATATATATTGATAAATAAAGCAATAAAATTAACCAAAAGGAGTTTAAGAATTATATACTTCTCTTACTTGTCAAACCTTAGAAAAATGTAGTATAAAAGCTGACATAGCATGTTCCTCAAAAAGCAAAGGTTAATAGTGAGCCTGAGCCTTTTCTTGCTATCTCTACTCAGGAAAATTCAATTGTTCCTAATTATTCTTTGTCCTGAGTTTGCATGCCACCATGCAACACCTGGCAAACGTGTGTTTTTTCAGGTTAATGCCAAAATACAAATTGCTTATACAGAAACAGGTTCTTAGTTCTCACATTTCAAGAGGAAACTTCTTGCAGGGAATAACTGAGCAGTACTAGCAAGATATAATTTTTATATCGAATATAGAATAGATGAGCTAACTTCAGGGATGACAATTTATTATGAATATGTCCCACTGTTCTTTCTGTATTGTTTTTATAGTGTTCTGATATGGTGATTACAGATATTCCTCAACTTATGACAAGAGCTCAATATTTATGTTGTTAAGTGAGACATATGTTAAGTGAGTTTTGCCTTATTTTATGACCTTTTTTGCCAAAGTTGTTAAGTGAATCACTACAGCTGACAATTTAGTAATCTGGTTGTTAGGGGAATCTGCTTCCCCACTGATTTTGCTTGTTGAAAAGTTGCAAAAGATGATCACATAACTTTGGGACACAGCAACTGTCATAAATATGAACCAGTTACCAAGCATCTGAAATTTGATTACATGAGCATGAAGATGCTGCAAAGGTGTGACAAACGGTCGTAAGTCACATTTTTCAGTGCCGTTGTAATAACTTTGAATAGTTACTAGATGAACTGTTGTAAGTTGAGAACTACCGGAATTCAATAAAATGGTTACTCTTCTACCATCTTTTTTAATATTGCTAATATGCTAAAACAATTTACTTTACTGTAGTTAAAAGTTATTACATCTTAAACTTAATACCCGTATTTACTGCTTGAAAATGTGTTACTATAACACAGGTAGTCCTCGAGTTAC